GATTGTTCTAATAATGTAAATTGTCAAGGTGTAGCCTTGCCACAGTTTTAAGCTTAAAATCAGATCTGACTAACCGACTTTCACCTGCACAAGACATGAAGCAGACAGTAGAACAACATTAATATGGCAGTCTAGGAGAAACAAGCACACCTCAAAGTTAACTATTCAGAGCAGCTTGAAAGCCATCTATAAAAAATATTTAGAAAGACTAGAAACTTTAAAAATGCTTATGAATTTGACGTTTGCTAATGAAACCTTTCCATAAACCAGTTCTCTAACAGAGTGAAGACGTCATATGAATAGAAGACAGGTTTTAGTGTAATTGCTCTTATTTCAAGGTTTCCACGGATCAATGATAAAATAATCCATGCAAACTGTTTATCTAACCACTTTTCAATGTTTTAAGGATTAGAAAAAGATTTAGAGTCACTAAAATGTGGAGTGGTTTTGAAAGAAAAAGAACAACAAAAAAAAAGAAAGATTATGACAAGGTCAAACATTTGCCTGTTTGACCAACAGCTTTAATGTTCCTGATAAACTAATATTTAAAATGTTTAGGAATATGTCTAGAAAACATATAGAAACAGGCCTGGTGGATGATTTAGAAGAAAAATCTCATCCTTTCCACACACTACCTCACACAAGCAAAGTGTTTTGTTTTTCATGTGTATCATCATTTTCCATAATATGCTATGAATATGAGTATTCACAATCCGGCTGTAACTGAGAAACATTTTATAATAAATGTCTTTCTCTGACCCCATAAAAATGTATATTAATAAAATGTATTAATTTTATTTGTCCTGTTCATTGATATTTCAACTTGCTTGAAAAAAATAAACAAAACAATAAGACATTTTCTAATTGAAAATTGGATTTGAATATAATTTACCCCTTTATTATACAACAAGACAGAATCATGAGCAGCATTTACTTGATAAACAGACTCAAATCTGTAAATTGCAGAATATCCATGGGCAATGACAGTGGTTTTATTATTTTTTTTGTTTTATTTTTGCCCATCCAGTCTTGTTTTTCTGGGAATGTTGATTCTAACAGGCTGCTTTGAAGGAGCGAGTGGCTTGCAGAAATAACTAACAAACTGGCACACGGCTCCTCTTGGCATGACCAATTCTGCATAAGCAGTTCGTTTCAGTGCAGACTGTGGCTGGTAGCAGGCTGTCACTTTCACGTTGTGTGTGTGTGCGTGTGCATGTGTGTGTGTTTTATGTTTGTTAAAAAAAAAAAAAAAAGTGTAGCCAGGGACAAATACTGGAATCCAGAAGCTTAAATTATTTACCAGTGCACCGATGTAGATTTGTAGATGAATTAAACAATTGTTTCTCATCAGTGTCACATTTGTTGAAATGAAAATATTTAGATTAAATTCAAGGTTCAACATAATTATGCATTTTAATCACAGTTATTAAAATTGACAAAGCATGTTTTCTTAGCTGCTTCTCACAAAACAAACCTTTAATGTGTAGGCTTTTCACAGCAAGACCAAAGATCTGATATTAAGACTTTATTCTTGTAATTTCATTTTTATTTTTATTTTTTTTCATAATATGGCCCTACTAACTTATACATTACACCAAATGGTATTTTTTTTCTTTTATGAAAATCCCAATGACTGGATAGAGTCACATTTGCTGAGTCTGTTTGGAGGTTTAAGAAACTGATTCCAGGTGCTTCTCATAGTAATAATAAGTAAATACATTTAATAGAAGTAGTAGTGCCTATGGTGGTTCTATCTAGTTGAGAAACACGGCTAAACGTGTGTTTGATCCATTCTCTGTCTTGTGGTCTTTACTGACTGTTTTGACTGACGGTTGGGCAAGTGCTTGTTATGCTGCTGCCTTAGCATGATGCTATCTGCTTTCCATTAACCGTAGAATTGTGCAATACATTTCCAATAATACATTTGTTTAATGGAAACACTCCAATTTTAAAAAACTCATATTTGTCAATAAAAAGATATTTGCTGACATGAGGTGGTTTTTCAGCCGTATGGAAGTAAATGTATTTTGCAAAACTGCAATGGAAACACTTTTTTTGCATCATACAAGTCACATGATCAATTACTACTGGCAAAAACCACAAATAAGACATCAGGAAGTAGTAGAAATATGATGGTTGATTTTTGGGGTTTCTTTGGACAATGTGTAACTGGCTCCACCAGATCTCTCGCATCATCACACGGATCATAAAAAGTTGTGTGTCATTTTAAAGTGTTGAATCCATAACTCTTCTATAAAATGGCCGACTACAATTTCCCCAAAAATGCTGCATATGTAGCCTCTCCCAAGTAGGCAGGGCTTGTTGCTCCATCACCTGAATAAGACGTCGACCTCTCCTCTGATGGCTGATGAATGATGAGTGCTATCACCATGACTGCAATATGAATACATCTCATGTAACTGTTTACATCAGTCACTGGCATGATTTATCATGTGAACAAACTTATTCGAGTGTGATTTTTGGAGAAATGTAATCCGAAATTGTGGGGGTTTATTTTTCAACATTAGTAGATTAGCTAATGTTGGAAGAAAAAAAAAACGCCACACAATAACAAATATTTAAGCACATTTCTAATGAAAATGCAATTACTTGCATCCTGTGGTTCCACCCCATTTAAGGCCTTTCCATACCCATCATGAGGCGTTAGTGAACCAAATTCATCCTGATCAGAAGGACTTTCCAGGAACTTTCTAGAAACTTAGCTTGCAGTCTAGTGGTCATTGTGTGTAACAGTCACATACTGATTGACAGAAAGGAGTGAAAGCTACCACACTGACTGAAGTGTTGACAGAACATTCAGTGTATGTTGTGTATTTCCTTTATGTGCAGCAGAATGTGTAGGCTAGGCAAACGCATGTTTCTGCTCTGCTTTCATCTGCCTCTGCAGAAGAGTGTATACCAGTGCATTCACAAACACTTTCTGTTTGGATTGATGAACACTTTAAAGCTGTGTGTTTGCGTGTGTGTGTGTATTGGTCGCCCATGAGGAGCAGCCTGGGGGGGGGAAGCTAACACGCTGTAACCAAGCCAAGCAATGAGCCAGGATCACTATTAGGATCCGCTGGGAAATAACACGTAAAGAGCCATCCTGCAGTGTGGGGGCGAATCCGGGGAAATAAGCCAACGCTGGTGTGAAACTGTCATCTCCCTGAACACATGCCACCGCTTCCGCTATGCTCATATACCTCCGAATGCATGGAGAACTTTCTGTGGCACACACCTGCTCATCTTAAGTTTTCTGTTGCTGAAAACACACACATGCACACAAGTTGAAGTACGTGTGAAACACAGCAAGTGACACACTCGTATCATTCCCATCAGTGTCTTTCTTGCTCTCTCACGCACACAAACAGTCCTCTCCTGAGGCTCTGCTCGTCTGGCCTGAACATCTGCTTTTACAGTACCGTCACATCTGCTGCTGCTGCCAGGGTGACACCGACGGATGTGATGCGTTTGTTGATCTGTCGTCACTGGATACATGAGCTCAGCGCAGTGGTGGGTGGATACCAATCCACCCATCTTATTCTCCAAATCTGTTATATGCAAGTTTTAATCAGTTTGAATGTTAACCAATTCTACAGCTTCTGAAGTTACGTATTTGCCATTTTCTTTTTTTTTTTTTTATCTAAGTTAATATTCTTTAATATGTGGTTGCTGTGATAATTTCCTCGCATAACACAACCAATAGTTATGTATTGAGTAAAAAAAAACAGAAAATCCCATTTTCCACCACCCAAATTTCCAATGATGAAATCTACAACCTGAGAGGAAACCGTGGATAAAACAGGAAAGGTTACAATACCTGTTTGTCAGCATGCAAAACTTTACAGATTTTTTTTAGACAAAAGTCTGGAAAAGTATTCTTGTTCATCACATAAAATCCCTGAAAAATTAATCAAAGCTTGGGATTGTGAAGTGACTAAATGTGGAAGCTCTGAAGTCTTGATAGATTTTTAATATGTGGACTTGAGAACACTACAAAAAAATGAACTCGGGTTCAATAATCCGGGACAGTGAGATGAAATTCTAAAGCAACAGCATTAGCATTTTCATTCCAAAGGCTCCATCATGGAGCAGCTCATTGAGTTCAGACCCGCCATCACAGCTGAATTAAGAAAGCTTAGTTTTTCACAGAGGGAGGGGGATGAGGTGCTACCTTCAGTCAGACGTATCCACTGCTGTATTCGTTGGAGAATGACTCAAACTACAGCATGCGGCCATCGTCATGGCCACTTGATAGAAATGTCAGCAGTGAAATTATTTTTATTTTAATATTTAAATAAACTCTGTATGTAAAAGAGCAGGGTGATATTTTAAAACGGGTTCGGGTTTTGTATAGACCGGGCGTCTGCAACCTGCAGCAATGGCTCGTAATAACTATAGATAAAACTGAAAAAGAATCAGGTCAAGTTTTAAATATAGATATAATGACGATGTCGTTTTTCTAGTTTATTTCTACAATATTTCTACTAAGAATGACACAAAGTACTAGTCATATGCTTTTACATCTGTTTTTCTTGTAATGTGGTTGGAATATGTTTTTTTCACTCTTTATGATTTCCTTTACTACAGAAAAAAGATAAATCAAGATCAATTTTTTATCTTTATTTTTAAATCCTAAAAATATTGAAAATGTTTTTTGTTTTGTTTTTCTCTTTATGACATAGTAGTTATTTATCTAAAATTATAAGTTGACCTTTTTCAAATAGTTGTGTGACATTTATGGTTCTGAGTTTTATTTAGCTGTTCTGAAAGTAAGAATGTCTGTCGGTGCGTGTACATGCCACATGGAGTTTCATTCATTAACCCAGCTGTTAGTCCAGAATGAAGGATATGACCACATGCTGTCCAGCCTGGTGAATGAATCCTCTGCAGCCCGTTGGTGATAATGACATACTTTCCCTCTGAGAATCGTTCTTTGCTGCCTCATCTCGTCTCCCATTAGATCACTCAACACGTTTTCCTTCCTTCTCCCTCAGATAACGGCTTTTGACGAGCTCCAGGCTGACTTTAAGGTGCCAATCGATCAAGGCAATCCACTCCATGCGGTAGGTGTTCATTCTTTTGTCATTTTTATTCACATTTCATCACAGTGGATTTGAGTTGAGGTGAGCTGCATCACTTTATAAGTTTCTGAATGTTTGATCCATCGGCTTGTTGGCAGGGTTAGAGTTAAAATCCTGTCCTGAGGAATTATCAAAGTGAAAACAAAGAATTCCACACTGGTCATTCAAGCTTACATGAACTCTACGTACAATTTAAGCACATCCTACAGAGCAGCCCAAAATGGTTTTTTGCCAAAAGAAGGGCAAATAGTAGCATTTAGCACCACACATGCTTTCATCTTACAGGTTGGATTTTCAAGAGACGTTGTGAAATGGGAAGTAAAATTAGAAAGGGCCTATGGTAAATCTTCAGCCAAGTTAATTGGTAAAAAACAAAGAAAAAAGAGCAAAATTGTTAAGGTAATTAGTCAGATTTGAGGAAATGTTGCGATTACGTGTGAAAATTGCAAGTCAGTGCAAAATTTGCTAATTATAAGTGACTTTGCATTAACAGTTGCGATCGTAGCATCCTGATTTCCTGGAGGGGTTGGATGTCCAACCACTCTTATTAGAATTAGCAATGTTCATTTAAGTTGTTAGGTTAGTACAGACCCAGTTCTAACAATACAGTTTGAATTAAAGTTGAAGTCAGAGACCTCTTAGAAGTTACCATCTGCCTGGTTAATCTATTCTAACCAGTTCTGATGTGTGTTTGAGAACACTGAGCTTTTGGAAAACCCAAGTGTGTCTGAGTGCCATCCATCTAACTGCTGATTTGAGACAAGATTTGAGGTAATCATACATTACTGGTAGCAAAGCAAACAAATCTACCACGATTGACAGTTGTTGGTACGATGTTCTTTCACCTTGACTCTTCCAAACACATTCCTTGTCATTGTGGTGAAACATCTCAGTCTTTGTCTCACCTGAATGTAGAACTTTCTGAATGTGCTTCCTATGTAATGCTTACAAAACATGGATTAGGACTGATAGCTGAATCTGTGCACAGAAATCAAGTTTAAATGATGCCTACCTATTCTGTCAAGAAAAGTGATTCAAATATCTGTAAAAGTCACAGCCAGTTGCCTTTCACATTGTGGATCCCAGATTATTGACTATCCTTTGCATGCCTTGCTCATTATTGTCTCGTAAGACAGTAAAGTGACAGTACAGGGAGATGACAGGAAGTAAAGTAGTAGTGGGTGATTTAAACTTATAGACTTTTAAATGACATTACTGGGTGTTTTTGTAAGCAAAATCTTATTTTCTTCTGTTTTTTGTTTCAATTAAAATCCTCTTGGAAGTCACAGAAGCAAGTTGTTCTACAAATCTTTTTTGTGTTGCTTAAATAGTTTGCTTTCGCCTTTAAAACTGTCTAACAATGTGGAGAGGTTACAGTTCAGAACGTAGAGTCAGGCTGGCCTGCTCGGACAAGCTGCCCCTAATAAAGTTGTTTAGGATTCCGCCTCTAAACTCTTCTCCTTTGAGTCTTAAGGGCTTTTACTAAGTCAATAATGCATCACAAAACACCAGCAGTTGCTCTGAAGGTGACTTTGACTTAAGAGGTCTGCAAAGTACAGGTTCTGTGGCGTAATGACTTCTAGATGTCTTTGGGGATGAGCAGGAAAAGGAGGACAGAAACATTAGAGATGGAGTAAAACTGACAGAAAAAATGGGAACTTGCGTGAACATTAAATTGAAGAAGGAAGCAGATAGACAGGCAGAGGAAGACCTGGCTGAAGAAGGATTTTTGAAGAGGCATAACTAAATTAGTCAGCTTGAAAGGTATTTCAAAAGTCAGACAGCAGTGCATTAGACAGATTTCCCCCCACTCAGAAGCACTTTCATATTTTGTCATATTTGCATATCATTATGCAATGGAGAACGCATCAAAGAATCCAGCAGGGGAAACGGGTACAAAAGGTTTCATCTAATTTTCCGTTGCTTGAACTTTTCTTTCCCTCCGTCTCTCAAGATTCCCGAACCCCTCCTTTTCCTGTTCCTCACTGCTGCAGTAGGTTGAAGACGTGGCCCTGAACTTCCTAGCCCTGAAAGACGCTTTCATGAAGTTGCTATTAATAGGAATTTTAATTCAAGGTTAACTTCTGTTTTATTTTCTTCCCAATGTTTATACAGCCAAACCTGTATGAACGAAATAAATGAGGATGATCCCATCCTACCTGAAAAACATAGACATTTATGACAACTCTTTATGTGTTATTGTATGTTGAAATATGAGATTCACCTTTTGATTACTTTTTGTTGAGAAACATTTATTGCAATAAAATGATTTCTTTCAATAAGTATGTTTTATCCATCTGTCAGGTGGTACCGATGAAATGTCTCTTCAGTTGTTAGTGTGGGAAGGAGGCTCAAGGTTAGCTTGTTCAACATCATTTAAGTCTTCGAAAATAACGTCAGAGGAAGAAAGAATAAATTTTAATTCTGTCAGTGAACATACAGGATTTGGAAATATTAGCAGCCTTTAGTGAACATCAACTGAATCTTATGGACATAAAAAAATAAAAACACTATCTATGTCAATGGTTTTGTAATCCAGACAAGCAATACCTTTACATTGTATATTTTTTTCTAAATGAGTGCATAATTTAAACTATCCTAAATAATGCAATGTCAATGTTGTCATATTGTGATTTTTAATATTTTTAACTTTGTGCCTTTTAATCCTTTGGGTGGCAGATGTAACAGTCAGACAGAGGAGGAAGTGGTTGAGTTGTCCCATTAGACC